TGGAATTCCCCAGGACCGCGGGCGAGATTTCAGAAGACCGCGGACCTCGGATGACTCCGGCCGACACTCGACATTTTATGAGGTTTCACGGAATCCTGCGGCAAATTGACGAGCCTGCCGTGTATAAGTCGAATATGAGTATATGAATCGACTGCGTTCACTGAATGGTCGCTTAGGAGACTCTCAGTGAGAGAAAATCACTCCAGATTAACACTGGTCGGATATCTTCGATAAAACTGACCCTCTCGCTCTTCGCTCGGTTCCAAGGACAAAATCAGATCCCGCGTACGCTCGCGGGGTGGAGCGCAAACTCCGACAGACTTTTCCGCACGAAATCCCTACGGAAGTTTGGCGAAATGCCCGATGGAACTCCTGGCGGAAATCTGAGAGCAAACCCTAAGGAATGTCCGGGCGGAGACTCCATTGTAAGCTCCGCCGCTTGAGAACACCGCGCCAGAGACGCACAGTGAGAGCTCAAAGCAAGGCTCTATAGAAGGGGGCGAGGATCGGACTCATGTCCTGGACATCTCTTTCTCTCATCATCTCCATGTCGGCCCTAACTTTTCCTCACCGTGAGACTGTGTTCGAGGGTGGTACATTCTGCACGGATCATGCTGAATATTGCGTATTCTGACTTATCGTCCGAGGAGTGTTCCCAGAAGGCAGACGTCCGAATCATCCCAAACGTTTTTGAAGAAAAATCAATCCATTCTCCTTGTTCTTGGAGGATGTTCTGTTCTTCTCGGCTTGACTATCCGATACCAATCATAAAAGGGTCCAAAGGCATAAAAGATACCCGTTTCGTCGATGATCGAGCGAACAAGCACTCCGCCTGTGAATGTAAACAATAAGCTGCGCTGTTGAGCTTTTTGAAGACTTTCCCCTTTTTTATTCTCTCCAAGCCCAGTGATCCATTCCAGGAGAACAATACGGTCCCATGCATCCGTCCAGTACAGCTGCATGCTGTCGGGTTCCCATCTCCGCCGGGCCGTTTAAACGGCAGAAATGGTCTCTGGTAGTTGCGACCGCGGCGAATGACTGCGATAGCCGAGGGAATCACGGGAGAAATCCAGAAGCGATGTTTTTTGCACCGTTACTTCACGCAACACCGCGTCCCATGAAGAATGAGTTCAGGAGCGTTGGAACGTTTAAATTCAATGTGAATGAAATTTATTGAAAGTTATTATCATTGATGTTGTTGTTGCTGCTTCTGCTTCTGTGGCAGTGGAACTACTGTCGCTGTCCCTGAAAAGATTCAGTTCATTTCGGTGAGAGGTTTTTCCGGCTGGCTACGTCTTTGAAGAACCGACACGTCCCAAACTCAGGTGGAGAACTAATCGAGTCAACTTTCTGCTGACCTGAAATCATTTTCATCAGACCTGAACCCTGGATTCAGATCTGGGCAACCTCCAGCGTTTCCCATCTATCTCCAAAATATCTTGGTACTGCTCTGCGTCCCGTGTTCCGGATCCGTGGGACATCGGCATCGCTTTCTTCGTTCGTGAATGATATCTACCGAGGAACGGCTTCCGGACATAATCCTATAGCTGCGTTTTCGGTGGTCCAGATCAGTCGCGATCCCCGCCGGTCGTCGTACGATCCCCGGTGTACAAAACAGATTCCATTGTTCCGAGGGTGGAACAAACGCGTGCCTCTTCTCTCGGGTTCTTTTCATTTTTTGTTAATGGAGGATCTCCCAAATGCCACAGGGATGCATCGCTGTTCCGAAGAGGAGAGAAGAAAGAGCCAGACAAAGACAGACGAGACCAGAAACAACGCCGACGCCGAGAAAGTGAAGCCCGATGAACGGAATCTGGAGTAGGTATGCGAGCGGGAAGATCAGAAAGAAGAGTCGCGACAGAGAATGAGAACTTGAATCGCAGCCAGCGAGCGTGAAAGTGAACGGACGCTCGTGTGTTTTGTGTCAAAGATAGGCCTACGCCACTGGTCGCACTGCAGAAGGTGAAGAGGACTGTGCAATAAACACCGGCCGAACAGACTGAACGTCCGTTCCAGTGAGTGTATGTTGACGACCAGTCGGCACCTAAACGACGACACCAGACCGACACGTCGCAAGAAGCGGCGGCTTAATGATTTTTCTCCAGAGGGGACTCCAGGACCGGTTGTCTGACCGGAAAACAGTCGATTGTCTTGGAGACCGTCTGGTCTTCTGGACCGGTATTCCAGACGGGCTCCGATCCCCCATTATCTTTTCACTTGTCCTAAGCGTCTTTAATAATCGAGAACGTCGCGTGCAGAAAAGCGAAATAGGTCCCCGGGAACTATAGTTTTCACAGCGCGGAAAAACAGGAAGTTCACGCGGAGGTCCGCGGTCAAATCACAGTCACGATAAGATGAATTGAGATTCTCAAAAGAGCAGAACAGAATTCGATTGAGCTACATGGGAGCTGGACTCGGATATATCCGGCTCCGGAGTCCGATCGAGGTCAATTAGGAATATCGTGATTATTAAAAGCAGCCCATTTTCCCGCGACTTGGCGCGTTCGAGGAATACACAGAAACAGTCTGATCTTCGGCGATACCGACAGGGATCGACTCCTAAAGAATCACTTAAAGAAAGGAATCAATGTCGGATCCCAAGCGCATCGATCGTCATTCTTCGTGTGGTCGCGCCACCTTGGCATATAAAATGTTGGAAAACGTTTTGAGGCTTTGTGGCACTCGGGGAACTCATGCAGTTTTCTCCTGGATCCGGGTCACACGCTTGTTAGCTTCGTTCTCAGCAGGCAATTCAAGAGGCTAGGAGTTTTGAGTCGATACTAGAACTGACAAGCGAGTGCCGTTAAAGTCCAAAGGCCACTTTTGAAGATTCCTTCCTCTTTCTCGGTATTGTTCGCCAGTCCATAAAAGATGTTCCATGCTCTTCGCCGAAGTTGAAACCATTCCCGGAGGCGTCTCGAGGAGTCGAATCGATTCTTCCAGTTTGGCTTCGAGATATTTCCGCCTATTCCCGTGAAGGATGAGAAACGGAGTTTGTGCCGTCTGACGCAACCCAAGCTTCTCAGCGTTATCGTTGCCTCCTCGTTTTATTCCGGTCGGAATAAATTTGAAACAAGCAATTGAAAAACAGATCGGACCGAGAAACATGGTGTTCGTACTTGACAATGGCGGTCCATGTCAAGATTGATGAGACAGTCGTTAGAGGCACCGTCAACATTTCTAGTGCCACCTCCTCGGCCGGGGATCCTGGATCTAGGCCGGCATGTACGGGCGTACTACGAGATGTCGCGATGCCGTCTCGTTATTCGTCCAGATATTCCAAGATTCTGCTGGGATATGCGCGCTTCGGGATAGTGTTTTCAACTCTTACGACAGCAAGCCCGAAAGCCATTTTTCAACGGCCGTTTCCGATTGAAACATTTCGAATCGGCCTCGTGTAATTATCTGAGGAAAAAAAACATCATTCGACCGCGAACACGCGGATGGTTCCCGTGAAGATTTTTCTTCAATTCGGGGATTCCGCGTACGAGCTCATCGCGGACATTCGATGCAAAATATTTCTAGCGTGAATTTAGCTCAAGGATGCTTAAATGGGTTTCCCCCTCTCGCGGGGGGCATCGATTTCGTTCGGAGAATTCCCAACATTCTGGATTCCACTAACTTACGAAAGTCGTCGTCACCTCCAGCATTCGCTGATTATAATGCTACGGGAAGGGACATTTTTCCCTCGTGAAGAAAGTTTTCGTTTAACAAGCGCCCGCATGTCTGGAAGCGGGGACTTTCTTTCTCTCACCGCACTTCTCGCGATTAGCGACCGAATGGCTTCCTTTGAGCCATCAACAACACAAATTGTAAGACAAAGGACTAGAATCCTTGTTAGCTCGCCTCTTGTGTTGAAGTATAGCATTCTCTAGTGTTTGTACATCATCATGCGGCTGAGACAGCGACTCTGCACCCTAGGCCTGTGCCCGACTTCCAGCCCCTCCGCGACGCGGTGGAAGCAATCGCACGGTTCTGTCACAGAAGTCGGAGTCGACGGAGACATGTACGATATTGTGTGGAATCCTAAAGATATGGCGAGATCAAGTCCACAAGGCTTATCTCCGGTCGCATCGCTCCGGTATACTCAGGGCAGCTGGATCACGGAGCCTCGTCTCTGCATGTTTGGGGAGATTCTCCGAGGATTAGGCTGCCCGCCGAGTCCGAGTCCTGAGATTGACTCTTCTGATTGTGAGTCATTGCGATCATTGCCTAAACGAGTATTTCGATGCTGCCTCAAATAGTCGATGCTGCTATGGGAGCGTTCCCGAATAGTCAAAATTCGTAAGAGAAGTCAAAGAGGACCAAGCTGGTCGGTGGGTGAACTAGACCGCCGAGACACTTCTTTGATGTCCTCGCTTCGCTCGGTATGCATCATCATTGAGGCTCTTCCCGCGAGTCTCACCCCGAACTCCAATCGAACGTAGTAACTGTCCCGACCACTTTCCGTAGCGTCACAGGACGCGGCACCAGATATCTAGGGCGTCAGCGCCGTTCGCATACCGGCTCAGATGGATGGATAAGTCATAGCTGGGTAGTCTAACATGGGAGAGGCTAGGTGCATTTCTGAGAGATGCCCACGACCCAGAGCCGGCTACACCGACCCAATACCCTTCCTTGCTGTGACCCCATAGACTCGAATCTTCGAGATCTCAGATCGACTCAGTCAGATAAACATCGAAGTCATGCTTTCCGGAAGACGATCGTCTACGGAGGAAGGTTTGGAGACTGGTGATGTTTTGCTGCCTACTGAAGGGGCGAGTCCGGAGGGAAGATCGGGAAGACGCTCAAGAGTACCATCCGCAAGCCAAGCTGAACCTCGGAGCACATGATCGCAGCAGGTCTTCGCGAATAAATAGATAGGCTCGGCTACCCGCAAAGTGATCATGCGCTTATATTCGCCGTCTCGAGGGGGCCTCCGGCAGCGTCCCTGCCCCCGAAAGCAAGGGCGGGCGGGTCGGCTTCGGACCAATCAGGTATTGCTGGTTAAATGAAGAAACTTCCATTCCCAAATCGGAAGCATAACTTTTTTATATATTTTATTTTATCACAAATTGTCGCAGGCGATTCCCATCAATGGCATCACCACGAATCATATATGTATAGGCCCACTACCTCCAGTCCGCCGTAGCCGGAGTGGAAGTGTTCTCTTTGTTGTCGGCAGCTCTTTCCTCTGACTTCTTCCGCTTCGTGCGGTGTCTGCGGTATTTTCCGAGTGTCCACCGAATTCGAGAAAACATTCGCTTTGTGATATTGTATGTATTGATCTGAACAACCGTCGTCGGAATTACTTCGATCTCGTTTTCACTAGGTGTGGGGATATGTTTGCCATGAACGTACTTGATCGTCATTTGCTTCAACACCCAGACACCTCAATTCCATCTAAGCTTCACTCTCGTCGGTCACCATGGGCCATGCAAAGAATAGAACACCTCCATTGGAGCTCTGGTTCCGCACTAGCTCTTAAGAAGCCCAACAAAGTCTTCAGCGACATTCGGCTCTCATTGAAGCTCTTTCATGTAGAGTGCTGCCGCTGGTTTATCGCAAACCCAGTGCAGAATTCCAGGACTCGGATGAACTAATGAAGCGGGCAATGACGGGTTATCTGGAAGCCCTGCCAGAATATTTCGGAGCGGTGAGGCTTTCGATTCCCCAGTTACGATGAAAATCACCTGGAAAGTAGAAGATCCGAGCTTCAGGTCGATGTACTTAAGCCTCAAGTGATTCTGGAAAAGGACTCATTCTGGAGCTGAGGTAGGGATGAATATCGAGGGGTCTGCACTTACGTTTTTCGCAGCGTTCAACACCGGGAGGGTAAAAGTCACTCTCTGCGGCGGAGGCTTGGGGGAATCTGCTATCGACGCGACCCATTTTTTCGTTTCTAGGAGGAGTTCGTGATTGGGGAAAAGTGAACAAGTATGACCGTCTGGGCCCATCCCCAGAACACAAACGTCTAGATCAGGTACTTTGCGGGTCATGAAGAATTGCTTCATTTTGAGCGCGTAATCTCGTTCACATTCTTCCAATGGCAGCTGCGGGTTGATGGTCACGAAGAATGCTTCATTCAGACCGGGAACAGACGGGATTAAAGCTCGGAAAGCACCAAACGTTGACTCCGGATGGTCGAATGGGACCACCCGTTCATCGCAGAAGAAGAACCGCCATTTCTGGAAATCTGAGAGAGGAAATATTTCGAATCACAAAAAGTCGCTCCCCGCCTCTAAATGATTTTTTCTCAATTCTAAAAACTTTGAACATGGATGCAGCTGTCCCCGAATAAGTCGGCCTCGAATCTGTCCTTACCATCGATCCCCAATTCTTTGAGTACTTGGATGGTGATGCCGACGGCGCTGCCTCCGGAAAGTCCAACCGTGAAGAAGCCCTCTGCCGTAGTTCGCGGTTTCGTCAGAGCTTCCTCAAACAACGACATAACCTTCTCCGTGACACCTTTCTTATCGTCTGCGACGTACACGCGGGACATGGCTCGCTGAAAAGAAAGTTTCCTGCTTCAGAAAAACTCCAGTTGCCGAGCTCAAACGCGACGCATGAAGAGCCGGTAAACAATACCGGCGGAAACTAAACGGCTGCCGGCGTCTCTCCAACCCCTCAGCGACAGGACAGGGCATCATTACTCTCTCTCCGCGATCCTGCATGGTTGCGCGACACCACGATGGAAACACATGCGATGGAGAAATGGGAACGTCACAACCGACGGAAAATCTCCGATTCAAACGCGCCGAACCTCACTGATAAGCGGAAACGTGTTGTCATCCATGCTTGTGGACGTATTGTGAGGAACTTCGTGTGGAATGAGCAAATCGACGAGCAGCAGAAACCCAGTCCACCACCGTATCCTTGACGTCGGTGGCCGGTCGGAACGACAAAACTCGTGGCCCTGAATTAATCCGCCATAGCTGCGATTCTGACCATAGGCACAGAAGAAAATGGACAAAGCTCCTACCAGAGACTAGAAACAGAAAGAGAAGCCAGAAAAACACGGAGGTTCATCGATCTAAAGAATATAGGACCTTCAGTTTTCGGTTTCTTCAGGCGGATAATCCTCCGATCTTCGATAGGAACGGTCCCCTCAGAAAGTGGGAGGGTCTTGCCCTCCGACCATGAGACCGATTTCTCAAATGATGGAACAACCTGTGAAGCAGAGGGTGACGGAGAGCGGTTCGTTTGTTACGCGGAAACTGCGCATAAGAGTTCGAGACGGGACTCATTCCAATAAAGTTCATGCTCCTTCAATTCGAACATCCTGGCCGGGGGATTCATCATTCTACCACGGATCGGTGAACCGTCACTTGTTAGCACATGAGGTGCCACAGCATGGGAGTTCAGAAAGCAAGTGGTACACCCATAAGAACACTCACAGACACTCGATGAGTCTTGTCATACACGCTGGGGCTTCTGTATTCTAGCCCTCCAAATGTCCGGTCGAGCTCTCTGCGTTGGCTGGAGCTGGTCGAAGCTGTCGTGGTAGTTCAAGAAGTGAGAACAAACAGACACACAGAGGCTCAGAAGCGCCTCAATCACAACAACAACATCCGATGTTGTCTGCGGCGACCACAGAGGGAGCCACTACGCCATGCAAAAGACCGGCTTGCGTGAAACAATAGTTTATCCGTATGAATGGGGATAGAGCCGAAGATACCTCTCGACGAGAAGTATGACACAGTTGTGGAGCTCCCGAATAAAGTTCGCTCCTCACCGTGACCCAAGCCGGAGTTTGAGAGTCGCTATCCATGGAAACAGTGCGGAAGCGGAAGGGACCGATCGTCCGTCGGGGAGAACCTCTCGTTGGTTCCCGTCAAAGGAGTAGGGCTGAGCATGCATAGAGGAAGTCAAGGACGAAAAACGCCCCGAGATCTCAGGACTCTGATCAAGTGGTACGTGGTACCTCTCCTGGACTGTTGATATGGGCGGAGCGATATCCGAAAGTCAGCGAGAGACGTGCTGAACCCGATATTGACAGGAATCAGCATTCAAGTGTCACGGAGGACTTCGTGTTTCTACGATATACTATGCGAGCGATCTTCAGTGTCCCTCGATTCACAAGACTTCGCAGGAATTTATTCTCGAAGTTCTACATCCTGGTCCCTCGGCGGGTCACCTTTTAAGAATTACAGAAATTTGTTCCAAAGCTCCGACGGCGGGCGTCGTATCTGTATGCCTAAGTTTCGGACAATCGCTCTCAGTACTCCGAGTCCACGCTGGAATTGGCCAATGAATTTCGTTGAGACCTGTGGCTCTGCGCGAAGAGACTTTCTTCTCGGTATTGTTCAACCTTATCTAGAAGATCTTTCGTGTTCCTCTCAAGAGTTGAAGCTATCCTTAAAGCAGTGTTGAGAGCTTGCTTCAGTCCTCTCTTCTCAGATTTGAGATCTTTGCGTCGACTTTCGCGTTTTGTGAGGACGGGAGTCGAGGTCGCTCGTCGTAAATTGCGATCAGCAGCGACATTTCCGTTGTCGATTCTCATTTCATCAGCCCAGATTGCCTCTGGAAAAAGATTCACAGAACGGGTGAGATTAATAATTCGAGCTCCGTCGATCGCTAGAACAACAGCTTCTCTCCGGAAGTCGAGCCCCAAACATGCGACCGGAATCGAGGCACCAATAAGGATGATCACCTGCTCTGCCGCCAAGTTGCTCAGGGATTCTTATCACAGTGCTGCTGGACGTCGGAAAATCATCATCAGGCAGGATCTCGACCAGCCTTGATGGCCTATCTTCGTCATACTCAGCTTTCTCTCGTACATTCCGTGTCGTCTGTCGTTTTGAGCTCTGTAATCGGGTTGAATTCTCATCTCATTCAGGTCGGGCACAAACTCGAGCTTAGCGTATATTCAATTCTTCGAACTTGGCAACCGAGGTCTCGAGAACACTCACATTGCGCATTCGTGGTATCTTGGACGGTTGATTTCCTTCCGAGGTGGAAGGTCCGACCCCGGTTGCACCGAAGTTTACTGTGAGCGCTTCGACTCTTTGGATGGGTTTTACAATGAGCACACTTTCAGGGAATTTCACGACGTCTATGAGACCCGGAGGTGAGCATGAAGACTTCGGGGTTGACGAGGACTTTGGTGACGACGATTTTTTGCTGAATATACCGCTGTCCAATTCCTCGTCCAGATGTAGAGCATCGCGAGTCTTGTCGAGATGTTCTCTTGCCGCACTCAGCTTTCTCACTGGCGTATCGGGAAAGGCTATCGTTGGACTCGGCTCTTTGCTTGTACTTGTGAAATCTGGAAGCAGAAATTTTCTCTATGAGGCTCTTCGGGGGGTAGATTGACACCGGTGACGCGATACATCAAGGTCCATTGCGAAATTACATCCTAGAACTTACGGATCTCTTCCAGGCTGCCGCTGAGAGAATGGATGCTGAGCTTCGATGTTTCTGCATCGACGAGAGCTCTGAGAGCCCCGTTCAATTCGACCGGCCGAGCTTTGGGCCATAGATCTTGCCGGTCGATCTTCTCTTGTAGACTCTGAGGAATATTTTCACCATAGATGTGATAGCCACGGAGCTCGTCAATCAAATTCAGGGCACGAGCGTGCTTGAGACTCAAATCCCGGTAGCTTTCGTGGAGAGAGTATAGTTGTAGTTCGCCCTCAGTCAAGCTTGCGTACGGGATAAGCTGGAATATTACGCCGGTCAAGTATTTGGTAAAGCGTGAAAAGATGGTACTGATGACAAAAAATCTCCAGTCGACAGCTATTCTAAGATCTTACATCATTTTCGCCTCCCGAAGCCATTGCGTCACGTGGGGAAGGCATCATAGAGTTTCATGACTCTCGCCCGCATCTGGAGGAGGAAAATTATTGGAAAAACTGTATTCGACTCAGAAGATCCTGATCAACAGAGAACCGACGGAACCCGGCACTCCTCGAGTCTTTCTACGATTGGTTGTAGAGTTTGACAAACAGATTCAGATACTCGAGATTCACGAACCAGAATTGGACTCCAGAGACATCACAGAACAATCACGAGGAAGGAATCGTATGCTATGGCGCAGGCGAAATGGACTACGAGGCTCCTTCCGCACAGAAGTATTGCCCACCGCGAGCTTTTTGAGTCAGTGAGCCGAGAGCCGCCGAAACACCTGTTTGGGGTTCGTCGGGGGTTTCTGAATCGGGCGAGGGTCTGAATGGTCGGCTACTCATGGAACAGCTGCGTGTCTCGTAGACGAAGATGCTTCCTGCGAGGTGCCTCACGAGAGAAGCCGAGCAGCAGATGGCGGTGACAAGATCAAGCCGAAGTTCAATCTATTATGGCAAATGCGGTCGAGACGGAAAAACTTCCGAAAATGATAGGCACGAGATTCTGGAATTATAGCGGTCGGTCTTGGGCGAGATTGAAGTGCTGACGCCTCCCGTTCATCGCTCGGAGGGTATCTACGAGATGGATCCAGCGGGAAATTTCTGCACTGCGTCATGGTTGACAGAAATGTCGACCATTAGAAGGGCCCCTCAACGTGCCTGACCCTCGCGAAAAGGTCTCCACCGGTTTTTACGATGCGTTGGGACGCCGCCACTCAACTCATCGCCAAGAAGGACAAGACAGGCGCGCGGGATAGCATGCGATGTCCGGGTCGTGACCACTGATCTGGTTCCGAATTACGGATGATTCACGAGGAGCCACAAAAGCAGGGTGGAGTTCGCGCTCTCCGAGGAAACTCCTTTCGAGACTGAGCGTCCGCGAACGGAACTTGTAATGTTTCAGGCCTGGATTGATGAGCAGATATCCGATATGAATTCTCTACAAGGCGGTTATGCTCTTCGCCTCCGACATAGGGGAAAAGAGAGCTTCCGTCATCTCATCGATCGATTATTATGCGCGAAACGCCGAACGCGAGCCGTCCAGAAAAGAGTCGCTGATGTGCGAGGAAGCTGAGCACGAGGCAGAGAATCCCGATCGGGACCTCGAATCAGAGATCGACGCGTCGTTTGACGTGTCAGGACGGAGGAGCCCTAAGAAACCTCTCCAGGTTCTTTCTCCAATGCCTTGTACGCGAGGTTCGTGGTCGTTAACATGGTCAGCGCTTGGGCGATGCCGCGCGAAGCTGAATCTCCCCAGAAGGACGGACATCCAAATTCAGGGACTTTCCATCGTGAAAGCGAAAAAGTGTTCCGTCACTGGCTAGCTCTCCCGAGCAGATTTCTCACCTTCATCCGTTATTCTGGTGTAGAGCCAGGACAATTCTCACCGGATGAGAGCTAGAGCTTATCCTGAACTACTTGGTTTCGTCAGTGACACTCGCACTGCACTTGTCATTCATGCGCAGATGCCTCAGTCCCATGCTTGAGTTTCTGTTTACCTCTGTTCTCCTGACAACTCTCACCCTCTCCGATCGGAGGAGTAGAGCCCCACTTCCCCTCCCTCTCCGAGCGCGTACCATGAACCCCCAATCCATGTGGTCTGTTCAGTGGCAGAGCGCTTGGGTCTCTCTTCTCTACCCTCTGTCCCGAAACCCGACACAAGTCTATCTGTGTGCCTGTGTTGGATGGCGCGCGCGCGATCGATCTTGACTTAGGATCAGCTTTTCGCCCGAGTGAACAGATGATACACTCCGTGGACCGAGAACTTTTCAGAAGGAACCGAATAGAAGAGTTCCGAAGAAGGTTTTCCAGTAGGCTCGGATTATGAATTCGGAGATGTGCTCAATCTCTATCAGTTGTGAGGAGGGACTTTCCCAACGTGTTTGAAATTCATCGAGTTTCCGGACGTGTCAGTGAGTTCCAGGTTGTCTAAGCGAAGGACTCACGACTTTCTGAGCGCACAGGATGGATGATTGGAAATCTTCATTGATATTATCTGACCTCCAAGCGGCCTGTAACGCCCTCGGAGGTTGGGAAGACGCCGCATACGTGAAAGAAGCTGACTGCGTCGAAAGTTTGAAGGTCAGGTCAGGTGCTCCGGTGGAACCCTCAGTTGCCCATACCTACATCTTGAAACTGTGGCGATTCCAGAACTGCGATGATTTCAGGATCTCTTCCGAGCCATTCGGCGGGATGACGAATCATTCGCGGTGCGCCGGGCGCTCGGACAAATCAACGTCATACGCACTGATCTCATACCTCTGGTTCGATTCTATCACGAGGATGAAGAAATATTCGACATCGCTACGAAGCTTCTTGTCAATCTCACCACACCAGTCATACTCCTCTACAAGGAGGAGCTGCCGATCGAGAAGAACGCGAGGTTTGTCAGATCTCGTGATCACTTCGTCCTGGAATTTCCCAAGTCCTAGTCACTCCCATTCCCTCATATCACTTCCATACTCTCACATGGATTCCGTTCTCCAACGTCTCTCCCGTTCCAGGCACATTTACATGACACTGGAATCTATGAACTGCACATACAAAGATGCGTTCTTGGAGAAAGAGATTTGGACGGTGCTCGGCGAGCGACTCGAAAAACTTATGAACTTGAACTACAGCGAAAGGAGTGATGAAGACAAGGAGATCATGGAAAGGATTTTGATCCTGATGAGGAATGTGTTGCATCCGATCCACAAAGAAGAACTCACGCTGAAAACCGATGGCGATGTATCGAGTCACGACAGACTCCTCTGGGCTCTCCATCTCGCTGGTGTAAGCGCACGATTACAGTTTTCCCGGGAGCCCGAATCCCGGCGACTCGTTCCGGGCACAAGAACGAGATGCTCATCCGACCCGATGTCCAAAGGAAGTCAATTGAGGATTCGCTGACGCTCTGTAATTTCCACAGATCGATGACCTCATCATATACTTGTGTGCCGCGCGCATGGAGCAGAGTTACACTCTCCACGTATTGGAGATCCTCCGTCTGATGCTACGAGAGCAGGAGCCCGAATTTCTTGCGTCAACCGGAGAACAGCGCTCGAAAGACGAGGTCCAGAAAGAAGTCGATGAACTGATCAAAGAACGGGACATCGAGCTACGACGCAAGAAACTCGAGATGAAAGCAGCCCTGCAGAACCGATTCGCGAGATTCAGCTCCGCGTATCAGGTAAATGAACCTTCATTGACCATTCGATTCTCCGAAAACTCGGCGAAAGAGTAGCTACGGGAACTCTCCTGATCGATGGCATCGATGTCAACAAGCCCGAGAATCTACATAATTAGGTGAATCAATCCTTGAGAGGAAGAGCGGAGCTCTGTGTGGATGTAGTCGAATCCACCGGGCAACTCACCCGATCCTCTGGTAGTCTCGAATCATCAGGGGCTATCTCGCGAATGAAAAATCTCAAATCTCATTCCAGGTGAAGAACTTGAAATCTCTCAACGATTCTCGAGATCTGGTGATTGTTGGTGACCAAGCGAAGGTTTTGCAATCGTTGAGCAACGTCGACCTGGATAAGAAGAAAAAGTTCCGTGCCAGAGCCAAAAACCGTCGACCGGAAACGTGCACCTCGATCAAGCGCCGCACAACTCTGAACATTCGGCTCTTCTTGAAGGAATTCTGCTGCGAGTTTCTGAACTCCGCATTCAACTCACTTCTGCCCCAGGCTCGTCGGGCCCTCACCCGATCTGGAGATGCTGGGGACGAAGGACACTACTTCTGGTTGCTGGATTTCTTCTTAGCGTTCAATCGAATGACGGGATTCGACATCTCGCTTGTGTCTGAAGCGATATCCCGGGAGACCTTCCATTACGTTCAGACACAGGTGGAAAAATGTCACGAAATGATGATGACCGACAAGCGTAATGTCCATCTGTGGGTGAAACGATTGCACCTACATCTCAAAACATTCAAACAGCTCCTCATGACGGTGTCAGCCATGGGCCAGCACAAGGATCCCCAAGTCTGCGAAGCATCGAAAATTCTCCAGAAACATCTCTTCAACCTCCCGGAATACCGCGATGTGGCTCTGCATTTGTTGCTCAACTTCAACGAAAACGTCGCTCCCGTAGAATTCCCACGGGACTTGGCCTGCACGATACACATTTACCTACGCATGATGGAACGTTGTTCGAGCCGCGGCCAGGCCAGAGCCGTCAAGAAGAAGGTCGCGAAGCCGAAACCCCCAGAGCTCGCGGATATGCCAGAGGAAGAACTCAATGAGAAGTGGCTCGACGTTTCGAAAGATCTCACGACGTACCTCGACGATCAGGAATCACAGATAAACTGTGACATAAATGAGGTCCTCGAAGGGTTTCATCAGTACGAGGAGGGCTTCCACGTTCAGATCTGCAAACACAAGATCGCGGAGCTTCTGAGAGTCGGTGATTCGAAGTCCGCGATCGGTCTACTCGAAGCGTGTCAACGACACTTCCCCGAGGAAGAATGCTTCGGAGATATCACGATGACGCTCGAGGATAAATTCATGCTCCTCAGGAAGTTTTTCTTCGCTGAGAATATCAGCAGAATGGATGACATGCCGGACTTGGACGACGATGATTCCAGGATGGCAGACTTCAATGTCGACGATTTCCTCAAACGCTTCGTCAACCCCAAGGTCGTGAAGGCCTATTCGCTGCTCCTCTCCCACTTCCGAGAGAACTCGCAAGAGGTCAACAAAGTTTGTCTCAAGATGCTGCATCGTATCGCCTTCGAGATGAAAATGTCCGCCATGCTGTTCCAGGCAGAAATATTCGTGACGTTCGATAAGATTTTCGAGGACTACGCCATCATGCCCGAGAGATCCGATTTGAAGGAACTCGCTCGTTTCGCGAAGTTTATCATCTCTCAGTTCGCTGCCGTGATGAAAATCAACGATCTGGCTCTCGTTGAGTTGTTGTTCTGGAAAACGTCGAATGAAGCCTACCAGATCCAATATGGTTACAACGAATCCAATCCGAACAGCACCAACAAGGCGAAGCCGTGGACCGAGGAGGAAGAGGAGGAATTACGAAATCTGTATGCTCAACACAAAGATTCGATGGAGCCCGGGCAGGACGTGATCGAGTCCGTACAGAAAGACTTCTCCAACGAGACCCGGACGAGGAGACAGATCATAAATCAATTACGCAACATGGGATTGGTCGAGAAAGGCGCACGCTTCAAACCGACGTCCGCGAGCACTTCATCGAACCAACCGTGGTCCATTGAAGAGGAACAGGAGCTGCAGGAGCTCTATCAGAAGTTCGCCACATCCATAGATCCTCTCACGCAAATCATGTTGGAGCAGTCTGTCAAGAGACCGAAATTCCGGGTGATTGAGAAGCTCTTGGAGCTCGGCTGCATTCACGATCGTTCGGAGGTTCGGAAACGACGCGCGCGTAAAAACGGAGAAATCTCTCTACCGCGGAAACCTTCGAGGAAGAGAGAGAACGATCCGAGCTGTATCAGTAAGGAGTTTCTATCCACGACGGATGATTCCAGTTCCGATGAGGATCGCGGTCGTCATGTCGAGGAAGGAGAAACTTTCGAAGGAGAGCGAGAGCGTCCTGAGGGCTCGTCGGCTCCCCCGAGGGGTCGGGATCGTAGAAAGAAGAAGAATCGGCGCTCGAAACCGAGGCGGAGAGTTGTGGAGAAAATCAACAACTCGGAGGAGCTTCAATGCCTTCTCAAAACGGCAGCCCAGACGAGGAAACCTGCGATCGATTGGATTATAGAGTCCATGCAAGACGCTATTGAGGATTGGAAAGACCAAGGCAATGAGCCCGTGCCCCTGGTCCCGTTGGCGTCTGATGAACACGAAAGTCTCGAGAACGAAGACTTTTGTAGATTGTTGTCGACTTTCGGTTTCGTTCCGCCTCAAGAGGGGATTGAACAGTATTGGAGAATAGCGGGCGACCTCACTCCGTCGATGCTGAAGTCAAGGCTCGAAGTCCTGCAGAAAGCGATCGAAGGGACATTCGATCAGGGAATCGTTGTCGGAACCGAAGACAATGAGGCTCAGCGTCAATCGGACGAGGGCTGTGCTTCAAGTTCTTCCGATGACGGAACAGCAAACAAAGCATCCGGGACGCGGGAAGAGAATGACGGAGCAGATGTTGGCAATGACGAGCAAGATCGTGACGCGGTCTCAGACGCTTCTCGAGAGTCGTCTCCCGAGCCATCTCGAGAGAGCTCGGCCCCGGATGACGAGGAGAGTCAGAGACGGGATTCGGACGAAAATGGGGAAAGCCCCCCAAGGAGAGATTCTCCGGTTTCTGAAGAGGAGTCGGAAGCTGAACAAGGGTCAGATGCGGAGACCCCAAACGACGAGAACGATGAGCAAGGCGGCTCGTCGAAAGGCGCGACGAAACGTGGTCACACTCCAAGTCCGGAGCACAAAACCAACAAGAAGCGGAAAGTCGCCATTGAAAGCGATGAAAGTGAAGATGGGGGAGATATTGCTGAAACGGATACGCCGAATGTGGAAGCTCAGAACGAAATAACGCCCGCGAACACCCAAAAGGCGAAAAGACGGGCAATCATCGAGAGTGACGATGATATGAGCGAAGAGTTATAGCAGGGCTCGATTTTTATTCCAGGTGCAAGAATAAAACTTTCAGTTATAAGAACGCAGTCGGAAGGAATACTCCCCTCTCAATTTCATCATTCTTCCCTTGAATATATCGTATATACAGTATAATTATTTCATATATCTTGACGGCATGGCCACGGAAAGACGTGCTCTCCGTGCCTGTCCCGGGCGTGTCTCTATACCAAGACGACCGGCTCCTTTGGATCCAATTTCACTTCCGGTCTTTCCAACGTAACGCTGCGGATTAGAATGGAATTCATTTGAATGAAATCGCGCAAGGCTGGCCAATGCACGCTCGCTTTCGGCATTAATGCGTGAATCTCGAGGAGCCGTCAGATACGTTGGAAATCTGCTTGGAAATTCAATGGGTAGCTCACGTTTTCAGAAGGAGCGAACAGAAGAGAACACTCAACGAGGACGCAGCCATCGCTGCTGCACCCATCCACGGTAGAAGTACGAAGCCGAACGGCAAGCCCAGACCGGCAGCCAACGGTATTCCCAAGATGTTGTACACGGACGCCAACAGGAAGTTCAGACGAATCCTCTGAACTGTCAATCGAGACAGAGATATCGCTCCCACGACATCACGGAGATCATTCTGGGAATGCAGGTACCGTCAGCGGGTCGAGCTCCCGAAGAAATCATTTGTCTTTGGAGTGTTCGGAAGGTGTGCTCACCCTAATTAGTACAACTTGAGCTGCTTCGACTGCCACTTCAGTTCCATTGCTCAAAGCGATTCCCACGTTGGCCGACACTAGGGCAGGGCTGTCGTTTATGCCGTCGCCCACCATCGCCACTCTGAACCCGCTTCTCTTCAATTCCTCGATCTGTAGCGGGAACGATCACTGAGATCCCTGTCCCCCTCCATCGATGATAATGATCGGTCGATGGACCGGAAATTGAATAGCTACGCGTCTCGACCAAAAATCACCTTTTCAGACTTGTGCGTCGGGAGCACTTGGGAGATGACTTCGGTGATGCCGGCTTTCCTCGCGATCGAAGCGGCCGTTCTCTCGTTGTCGCCCGTCAAGAGTAACACCCTAATGCTTCGGTTCTTCAAATATTCCACAACCGCCCGGGATTCCGGCCTAATTTGATCGCAGACGGAAACTATCGCTACCGCCATACCATTGATGGCGCAAATCACAGCAGTCTCTCCTGAGAGCTCACGGAATTCAAGAGCGCTGTCTTGATCTTTTGGCACTTTCACCGCGTTTTGAGCCATCCACTGTCTGTTCCCGATGAGAACGACGTTTTTCTGCTTGATTGGATTCTCTTTCACGCTGCCGTCATCTTCCACATGGACACCTGCGATCGAAATCTGGAATTATTGATCCCGAATAATCTCTCTACTGCTCCTGAGAGATATCGCTCCGGGAAAAGGCAGAATCTGGGCGCTGGCGGGCGGCGGGTGAACTCACGTTTTAGCTCTCTCTCGTCGATTTTGAAATCGGCCTCCAGGACGACCTCGCATTGGAGTCCGTACCCGGGCCGAGCCTGGAAGCCTCTGTACTTGGGAAGCTGGAGGAGGTTCAACGACTTGGAAGCGAATTCTGCGATCGCTTTCCCAATCGGATGCTCGGAGCCCGACTCCGCCGCCCCGATTATCGCTAAAAGAGGCGCTGTTGGCACTGCGGATGAGAAGCAGATAATCGTGGTGACCGAAGGCTTCCCTTGCGTGATAGTGCCGGTCTTGTCGAAAGCAACCGCGTTCACCTTGAACGAGCGAATATTCACAAAATCAATGAATGATCAAGCGATCCTCAGCTCGATGTCGCCGTCCACGAAATTCGTTCCCACCTTCGATAATTGTTCCAGCGGTTCTGCTCCCTTGATCAGAATCCCATTTCTGGCCCCGACACCCGTACCGACCATGACAGCGGTTGGGGTCGCCAAGCCCAGAGCGCACGGACAAGCGATGCTGAGAACGGTGAGGGCGCATCGGAATGCGAATTGGAGGGAGACTTCTATGTCAGACCGCCCAGCACTCTCCGTGACGTATGAACGAATCAGATCAATTCGGTAGTATCCGATTATGATCCACAAGACCAGAGTTACTAAGCTCAGAGAGAATACAGCCGGTACGAAAAAGCCCGCGACCTTATCGGCCAGTTGTTGTATGGGAGCTTTTGATGTTTGAGCTTGCTCCACCTGGAAGCGGGGCAACGGCGGAATTTAGGACCCCGGAATCAATTAGGGCGCCCGAGACATGGATTTGACTAATTCCTAACGATATCCCTTGGAACTATTCCTCGTGGATCCTTAGATACTGACCAGGCGAACTATCTGAGCCAGGGTGGTCTCTTGTCCGACGTGCGTCGCTCTGATTATGAGTAAACCGTCCAGATTCAAACTTCCGGAAAACACTTGAGAGTTTGCGTTCTTGTCCACCGGAAGGGACTCCCCTGTTATATGAGATTCGTCCACCTGACCAGACCCCTCCGCGACACGGCCGTCGACGGGAATTTTGCTCCCTGGCAGAACTTTTATCAAATCCCCCCGCTGGACGAGCGCTACGTCGATCTCCTGGTGGGTACCGCTTTTTGGATCGACGAGCATAGCCGTGTTCGCTTGGAGCTCTATCAGCTTCGTCAGGGCTTCTGTCGTTTTGCCTTTCGCGATGTTTTCTAGCCACCTGGGGAGATTCAGGAGACAAGATGAATATCACCGAGGTATCGGGGAGAGGTTTGAGCGGGGATCTTACTAGAAGCTCAGAGAGAACAGGGATCGCTTACCGGCCCAGACACAGGAACACCACCAGCATTGGGACAGTGTCGAAAAACGTCATTGGGCTCATTTTTTGCTGCAGTACCATTGCTACTGTGAGAACTGTGATTGAATAGAAATACGATATGTTCGTCGCGAGCATGATGAGTACGTCCATGTTGGCCGAGCCGTGACGGAGAGCTTTCAGGGCCGGCTTGTAGAAGTGCCGTCCTCCGATAAACTGAAATAAACCAGCGGCTAAGGATGAGTACTATTTCTAGTGTTGTTCTTCCCAGGGCAAGTGGAACCCCTAGGGTCTCTGCTCGGTGACTTGAGATGTTTGGAGGAGATATTTCGAATTCTCTATATGAGGAGAGATTCGATCCAGGGATCCATCTCACCTGGACCGGGGTCGCTAAGACGAAGAGGAGCAAATTTCTACGGAGAGACCCGGAAGCACGAGTTCTTGCTGAGTGTGGTCGCTCTGGAGCATGTAGTAGAGCATGATAGCCATTGTTGGAGCGCCAAATAGAAGTGAGCGAAAAAAGCGTTCTTCCATTTCAGCGTTTCTTTCCGATGACTCAGCCGATCGGCGTGTCCCGTGTCGGAGCTTGATGGAAGCTTGGCCTCGAAGCCGCAATCCTGAAGTGTCCAAAAACACGATCGAGCCTCTGATCCGAAATATTGCCTGTCAGCATCGATAACACACAGGGAAAGCCGCGTATGAGAAAGCCCCAGAAAGCGGTCGCCCTCTTCGGTCACCATAATTACCTCTATTGCATTCAGTATGACACGGGGACCGACGACTTCCGGGTCGAATGTAAAGATGCCCTTCTGCGTCGAGAGGGAGACACTCGCCGTGATAATTCCTGGAATCCTATTGACCGCCGTTTCTATGCTATTTACACACGATGCGCATGTCATACCGGAAATCTGGAAGAGTATTCGCAGTGAACCTCTGGCCTGCCGACCGATTCGTCTGTTCTCTAGCTTCGCATGCGGGAACACTCTAGACGTGAGGACTTCCCGAGACTAACCACTAAGACGCATTCTCCACGCGGACATTGGGCGTCCGCCATGGCTTCGGCTTCGAAACCCATGGACTCGACAGCTTCGACGATCTTCTGAACAGAAATCTGCTCTGGGTTGAAACGGATCTCCGCTTTCTCCGCCAGGAGTGCAACGAGAACGTAGTGAATACCGGGAACCTGGAACGGGGCGCACACGGGGGTTCAGCGAAGAGTGATCCTTCTCGTCTGGCGTTGCGGAACTCAGACAAGAAGCAGCACAAGAAATCGAGCGTCATTGTCGCTTGCCTTCTTCAAGTTGTTTTCCAATGTTGAAACGCAGGACGAACAAGTCATCCCTTTGATGGTCAAGAAACACTTCTGCAAGGATGCCGCATCCATGTTCACAATCGTGTTTCGCGATGCCGCGAGGCTCAAGTTACTCAGACGCTCTAAGGATAAGGAGGCGAGCATTAGTAATTTCGAGCCATGGCTGCGAAATTCGAAGGATTCCGTGATTCCTAAGCCGGAGCCTCATGGCTTCGGTTGGCGTACTGCGTTATTTTTCCCTAATGATTGGATGAGGTCGTGTTTCGAGCTATTCATCTGTCCGGACCGCCGCAACGTTCCCTCGTACGTACCGATTGACTTCTGGAACGCAACCTGGAGGCTGTGCTGACTAGCGTGAACGTCGAAATCAGTCTGCAAGCGGAACAAAGGATAGATACGTTTATGTGTGATGGCCAATACTGGCGGCAAAACATTCCTCATGTAAAATCACCAGGATTTCCCGTATACGGCGCGCTCGCAGAGAGAAACCCTCATAACTACCCTCGGGCTCAGGAGAGGCGACTTCTCCGACGCGACTGTGTCCCCGATTTCGGCCTCCTTCGAGGGACCCTCAAGTACACAGGCGTCGAAGCCCATATCGCAGATGGCCTCATTGACTTCTGCGGCGTTTGTCTCCTCCGAGAGGAATACTACGGCGGCGGTGCTCTGTTGCAAAGAGACGTTGATGCCCATGACTCCTTTTGCTCGTGACATTTTCTCCTCAATGCTACGAACGCACGACTGGCACGTCATCCCCTGGATGCTGGAAAATTCGTTCATTAAGATTTCCTGGTGCCATGAGACAGATGTGGTCCCAAATAAATAGGGAATAGGCCGGAATAACGGAAAACGTCGCTGGGAATTCGCTCACCGGTACAATGCAGATCCTAGCGCGGGTGGTTTCTCTATTTCTTCGAGTTCGCAGTCGTATCCTGTTGCCTCGATGTAGGATTGAATGCTTGACAGCTCTAACTGGTAGCCGAAAAACGATACCGTGCATTTTTGATTCGCCAGTGATACTTCGACGTGGTTGACACCTGCAAGCAAATCGGTTCAATATGCTCCAGAAGCGTTGGAAACATTGGAAAGAATAATGACCACAAAAATATTCATGATATCAGGTATTCAAAAATCATGACATGCACACCGAGGCGGCTCCTTACCTGGTTTGTCGACGAGAACTCTCTCTATGCAGATGGCACAGAGTTCGCAAGAGAGACCCGGTATCCTCAAGGTGGCTTTGGATGGGGGAACATTATCTGGGAGACTCACAACGAAACCGAGCTCGGTGACCGCGGCCAGCAAGTGGTCTGTCGACGTCAGAGTTGCCTCGTAAGACACGAGAGCGCGATTGTCTTCCAGAGAAACTTCGACCCTGATGTTGAAGAAGACTTTACGAACGGGAAAGCTTCATGGTTCTCATAGGCAAGGAACAATAATAATCATCGGAGACCTCCATGTCGAACTCACTTGTGGACTCCATTTATGTTCGAAAGCTTCTTTTTAACCTTCGAAACACATTCTTTGCACATCATGCCACCGATAAGCAGAGTACTGTCTACGATTTTGAAGCTAGGAACATCGCTGTTGAGTTTCGCACTGAAGCCCATGTTGCACACGGTCCGCACGATTTCCGACATCGAGATTTCGCAGTAATTGTATTCTAACTCGGCAAGTTGAGATTCCAGAGAAACCTTCAATTCACACAGACGAGAAAATTGTCTGACTTAAAAGATATGTCAGGGATCGAGCGATTCCGTGATATACGCCATTTATTTGATGAATCCCGCCGTCAGACAGTACTGACCTGTACACTTTTGACGCCCGGCAAATCGAGCAGACGGTCGTGTATGACACGAACACATGCTTCGCATGTGAGCCCCCCCAGCTGGAGGGTGTTTTTGGTGACTTTCTTGCTTTGGCACATCTGGAAGCCGAATTTCGGTCGAGGAATTTTTAAGAAATTCTCCTCCTAGAGCATCTGGACCTAATTCATGATCACTGTGGTAGCGCACGGACACTTCTTCCGAAATCATTTTCTTATCACAATCGATAGCCAATCGACACAGAGGATTACAGAGGATCCCTATGGGGAAAGGTCAATATGACGAACAGAGCCGGTCACGAGTTCCGCATCAATTTACAAACTCTCTCCTTTTCTCGATTTTCACGTTGCTCCACATCGGGCAAGGCGGCTTTGAGTCATTTGAGGTAACCGTCGCGGACTCATTTGTTCGTGCTTAGGACTGACGGACAGCTCACAAATAACGGGAAGGAATTCTCTGGCGAAACTTGCAGAGGGAGAGATATCCGGGTCTGATCTCCCGGAGATTTTCCCTTCTCTCCGTCAGACCAGCCAGACATAGAAAAGCTTACGTCATAGGGCGCTGAGAGAAGTTCCTGTTTCTGATGGTCCCGCGGGGACTCTGGCTGTCGGGAGCCAGCGTGACATTCGAGTCGGAATGATATCGACGAACATCGTGATACAAGCTCGCAATTAGGAGATCGTGACACCGGTAGTGTCCAAGAGCTACCGGCATACGTTGAAATAATCCATGTCTTAATTTTAATTTAGGCCATCTACTCAGAAGATTAAGGGCGGACCATTCACCTCCTGTCAGCCAGACCATCATCGCCTCCGAGCATTGGCAGACCAAACGCCCCTCGGTCTACATAGAAATACATCGGAGATTGCCAGAAACATAGGCCGCTTCCACGGTCAATGGATTCGGGAACGTCACAGAGGAACTCTGGTGATTCTCCACGGAGGTCCGGATCTCGACGAAGAGCCCAGTTTAGGCGGGATTTATTTAGACCCATGGGGAACTTTTCCGACAGCTTATCTCCGCATTCCGAGGGTTTTCCTTCGCGCGGATGCGCGGCGTCCGATATGAGTAATGAGGACCGACAGCCATACATACCTCGCTTAAGGGAGGGGGGGAGGAGTCCCCGAACCCGCTGACCGAGACACTTCACTTCACCGGGCGCGATTGTCTGTCATGTGCGAAGAACTTCTGTCCCGCAAACGATATCTCTCCAGCGGTCTCGAATTCCTGGGATTCCAACAGCTGATCGACGACGGCACGGTCCGTCTTGAGAGGAGGACTGGAGAGGGGCGCCTTTGGCGCTAATTTTCAAATAGAAGGATCGGGTTAGAGACTCTATTCCGAAATTAATCATGAAGCAAGACTCCTTCCGCATAATTTCCTCTATCTGAAGACAGTGAAGGGAGCCAGGGGAAGCGGAAGCCACTGTTTGCGACGGGCTATCTCTTTCGGCATCGTCAGGCTCATACGGAGCCGTGCGAAGAAGACGAGCATTTCGCTCGCGAGGAGACTAACGTACCGAGTGGACGCTGAATCTTCAGAGTCGTCAGTCTTTCCTGAAACCAGGATGAAAATCGAATCGAGCGCACCAGCGAGACGTGAAAGGTTCGCCCCCTCGACGAAACTCGCCATTGTGCTGAGTCGCCATTTCTCGAGCGAAAATCTTCTGCTGCGACGAGGTCCGGCTCTCTTCTGCTCGGGACTCTTGGAAACGTTTCACTTTGAGCCTTTTCGCCTCGGACATCGGGTACGCGCTGGATGACCCAGGTATCTGCTATCGTCAGCAAACTTCCGCCTCGACGGAACGCTGGGAGCATCATTTGGATTGCCAGCATGATGATTCGAGAGGAGCGTATCCCGAATCGCAAATACCTCCTCTCAGAAATCAGTGACTGCAACGATCCGAACGCCGTAACGGTGATATCTTCCCGCTCCTCTTTTCTTCCAACCTTATCCCCAGCTGCTCCAATCGGGTGCGCGGTTGGCTGAAAGACACTTCTTAGTTTATGTACACCTACGAGATGCAGGAAGTCCCGCCCATCAGAGACATATCAGATGAGCAAGCCTTTCCATCGAGGTTCATGTCGAAGAACTTTCGTTTCTACATGGAGTTTTTGAGGAGCCAAAGATTCCTTATACGCGGGATTTCGGAGTTCCGGCATATCACTGCGGGGTGGAGAAGAGCAACCCGAGGGGGGTCACTTTCGCCAAATCCCTAAAATGAAAAGTTTCCGAAATCCCTTATCTACTCAGACTCGCAAACGCGAAGGACTACTTCTCTGACGGACATCCATCTAAAGGAGGGAAGGAAAAAGTGGCTCAGTCATTCGCCAAGCCTCGGAAGCGCCTCAAGTGATTGACTACAAGTCGCAGAAAAAGGCGTCTCCACAAATCTCTCTTTCGGCCCGATCGTCACGTACTGACTTCAAATCCTTAAACACACACACAAATAGCCGGTCAAGCAGCGCCGGTCCGGGGGGCAGGGGGCGGTGGGCGGATGAACGGGGGTAGCGGGCTCTAGGGGCCGAGCACCCGACCGAGCGGAGGGCCGACAGCCGCGCTTACGGACCGACGGCGGGCGGCGGACGCACGCAGGCACGCACGGACAGGCACACTCAGGCACACTTGTCGCTTGCTTTTCCCTGGCTTGAAGGCCCGTTCCCTTCCCTTTCCGGGAGGTTGGCGCGCCATCTCGCGGGTGTACGGGGCGATGCACTCCTGTCGCTCCTCCTGACCGACCGACCAAGATGGCCGCGACCTGTTAACTGGCCTGTGCGAGAAACGACCGAGTGAAGAGCGAAGGCGACGTCCTAATCGGTCGTGAGTCCTACGTTCAGGGTGTTCATGGCCGTTGGCGTAGAGTAGGCAGCCCTCGCTCTGAGCCGGCCTGCCGTCCGTGAAAATGGTGGATCTTGGAGGCTACGTGATTATCCTAGTCGAAACCAAAGACCATAAGATCAGGCTCTTCGGTAAGTCACGGTTCCGCTCCTTCTTTTTCGTCGTCTCCCGCCACGGGCGATATCCCGCGCTCTTGAAACTTTCCCGAGGCCTCGCTTGCACATTCTTCTACATTGAGAACTTTGATAAGGAGCGGAGAATGAGATTCATGGCGGCACTTGTTTCCCCGAGCTATTGATTCGGAGAATTGCTATGAATATCGGACGCTCCGGTGTCCGGAGGCGGGCGAGCCAGCGAACGCAGAGGCGAGCTGGCTGTCCCGCGAATGACGATGGGCGAGCAAGGATTACGGCTGTCGTTTATAACTCTTTCCTCGGAGCCTTTAGCTAGGGATCAAGTTCTTGCACTTTTTCTTCCTCCGTCTCTAGCCGCGCCATGAAATGTTGTCGTCGTCGTCGCCACCGACGACGACGACCCATCAACAGGTTTGCCTCGTGAGGGGGGTTTCGTTCCTCGTCCTAAAGCCAGACACCCGCGAGCGCTCGTTTTGTCCTCGTTTGAGGAGAGCGAGCTCGAGAATCCTGAGCAGAGGATCCGGAGAGCGGGAAGCGGTGATCAGCATGGCTTTTCTTGCATACTAGCGAGCGGGCGATTTCACGGGTTTGTCGCTGTCCGTCTGAGTGAAAGAAAAGTTCTCTTTCCATGGAGCTCGCGCTTGGTCCATTCTGTCCGATTCAGGAAGAGAGTTGTCGCTGCGGAATGAGCTCGAGCTCCCGCATTGAGATTCGGATGTCGATTATGAGGTGGCGATTACATGCCCTGCCCGGAATAGCTCGAGACTTGCCGCATGGGTCGTTCCTCCGCTACGACCGAAGCCAACCCCCGATTTAGAGCAGAACAGTGGTGCTGTGTCTGATGGTGACACCGAGAGTATTTATACTGCACGCTCTCTCATCTCGAACGATGTTCCCATGCAGGCCGAAATGGAGCCTGCATAGGAAATTCCATTCCATGGAATCACCACGACGCTAAGGGAACGGAGGAGGAAAAAAATCGGGTGACGTGTAAATGCGAGAAGGGAACATCGGGGACGACCGCGGTCAAGGGCGAAGTCGGCGACGTGGAATGAATAAAAACCAGGATTCAGAGCCTGCTTTTGGGGATTATCCTCTTCGCTTTGAAACGTCTTCTCGCAGACTCCGCCAAAGTAGCATTCGTGCCCTCAGTACATAAATCTAGGATTGCATGTGAACTCTCTCCTCGACCGGCTTCTTGCGATTGCAGCTCGACTTGTTCTCTTCAGTCTTCCCTTCGACGCAGTCTAGAGGATCTCATGACTCTCGATTGAACTCTCGACGTTTCTTTAGATGCGCTGTGCGCGTTGAGCATCAGAATACTCCTAGGCAACGTTCTCTGTCTCTGGCTGACACGTATTGCTTCAATTATCGCTTTCGTTGCAGGATCGCCGGCGGACAGGGCCGACCTCGAAGTCGGGGATGAGATCCTCGAAGTGAATGGGAAAAGCCTCGAGAATTTAAGTCACAAGGAAGTTATCTCGCACATACACCAATGCATACGCTCGAGAACGATATGTCTTCGCGTCAAACGGAAAACTGGCGCAAAGTTTGGTGAGTTGCTAAGACCCTCAAGACTCCTCAGAGAGCTTCGGAACTTCCGCTGGTGATTATTGAGGACCCCATGCAGGAGTTTCTCTCAGCCATAAGTAGGGCTGGGAAGTTGGCGCGGTCGCGCCGGAAGCCGTGAATTTTCACGGCATTTTCAGGCGATCCTCCATAGGAAGTCAATAGGGGGTGAAAATTGCCGTGAATTCTCGAGGAAATTGCCGTGAATGATTCCCAGCCTCAGCCACAAGATTTGGCTAGATTTCGCCTAGTCCTCATGTCGTCGTGTTCCGTAAGTCCAGTGATTTGTCAGGGGTTTCAGTCTGGCGAATGTCTGCTAGCAGTAAGGGTATCATGGGGGGGTGCAGCCCTGTGTATCGCCCATCCATTTGTCCCCCGTGGATTATAATCATCCATCCATGCATCGAATGCAGATTTACGATCGGTCATAAAAAATCCTCGGAATGGATCCGAGATCATAAGGGACGAAATATTGGATTCTTTAGATCGGAGCTCTCGGAGTTGCAGCCTACCAAACAAGGAAACGAGATTCGGATACAACAAATGTACGACAGCGCGGAGCGAGAGTTGCCATGCTGCCGATGCTCTTTTCCCGAGGAGTGCGCGGAGTACAAGCGAAACGAAGCCGGTCTTGTTTCCGGGAGGGATCGCGAGAAGTTATCACAATGTGTGTTGGCGAAGGGTGCTGTACCCCCGGCCGAAGCGTATGTGTACTGCTCTCAACTTATCCCCGTGGTTCAATTGGCTGACGGTTTCCATAGCTGCAGACCGGGAGGGCGCGTGACAACCGTCCGCTTGTGTGCGCGCCGGCCTCCTGCCCGTTTAACTGGCCTATGGCTCGGCGGTTTATATGAGCCCTCCAGCACGGCAGCCGGTACGTAAAGAGAGAGGAACGGCTGACAAGCAAACGAGCGAGCATTCGTTCGCCCATAGACAGACACACGCTCTTACGCGGAAGGACATACCGACCGAGCGACCAACCGTCGAGCAGGCAGCAGCAGCGGCGACAGGCAGAAAGTAGTGAAAGAACACGCCAGAAGGCCATCGGAGGAGATCCAACAGAAGCAGCGAGCAGATTTGGTCGGCGCGCGTAACTGTTAGTACCAGAAGACGGGGCGGACGGACTGGCAACCGCCGTCGCAAGAGCCGGCGCTGACAATTTTACAGCGCGCGTTCTTCGATGAGCTCATGAGGACGTGTTTTTCGTGCGAAAGCTGTCGGTGTCGATCATGACCATGCTCTCCCACTAGGCCCCGTCCTCCGGGGCCGCGTGCCGGAATGGCAGTGACATAAGCGACATTCTACCCCAATGATTGATATCGTCCATAAGCTATACGAAAGGTAGGGATTCAGCTGCTGCAACCACGGGCGTCTGACCTCGCGAGGCGGAGCGCTGCGCTTCGATGCTGCGTGATTTTGGTTATTCCAAGCCTTCCGGAAGCAACGCGTGAGCGAGATTGGAGTATTATATATGAATACGAATAATTGACCCACCGTAACGATTCTACCTTGCTAGGCTTCACTAAGCGATAACCCGTAAAGGGTCTGGGCAAATTCAGACTTAGGAAACCGATCTTATCGAGTGGGGTCTCAATCGAAAGGTAATTTCGAGAGGAATATTTTCCGCATGGTCCCGGATCTGATTAGTACTCCTGGACGGAATAAATGCCCGGAGAAGTTTTTTCTTCAACCCCTTCTATCTCGAGAACGGCTATAGCTACAGAGTCGTGCGATAGCGCGATCGAAAGCTCTCGTCGAGAGCTTTCATTTGATACCAATATCGACCTATTTGGCCGTTTCTAAGGCTTCAAAAAAGAGAAAACTAGTTTTCGGAAGCTTCGCTTTCATACTTCCACACGAGACGCCACTTTGATACTTTGTCAGATAAAAGTCCCAAGTGTCCCCCATCCATTAGAAATCATATCAGGAAAATCGAAGCGTCACTTTTTGTTGAAAAAAATCCTTATTTTCCCCGGTCAAAATCCGTTTTTTCCGGAATTTTCCCGGTTCGCCCCTTTTTCGCCCGATTACTCCTAAACTAGCGCCAGGAGCCCGTTTTTGAGCCCGGAATCTGAAAGCTGAAGCCGAGAGCTTTCGATTGCACCCCCTGGTCACCCGATTCGGCCTCAGGGACAGGAGAAAACGTCCATCCTCAGAGTTTTCATCCAATCCCATTGAGGAAGCACATGGATATTGCGATTCAGGGTGACACTCATTAGGGCTCATCGGGTATGGGGAGATAAATACGAACTATAGTCCTTCATGAAGATTACGACTTTATTCAGTCATTAGCTCCATCCGCCTCTGACTCCGTTTCGCCTCCAGACGGCAAAAATAGATTTTCCAGGTTCGCTGCCGGACGAGAAATGGTGTCGAGATATCTCGCATACGAGAGGTAGAAAACCGCAGCAGCAACGTGCGAACAACAGCCCACCGTCCTGTTGCCATTTGGACATTCGCACCAATACTCCGCGATTCCGTCGATACTGTTCTCGCTTGGATGGTAAAGGATGTAAATCCTGTAGGTTTTGTCGATTCACATGGGGACCTTACTTGGAGCTGAACGACGTTCGGCGCGTCTCTGACGAATTTCATCTCGATGTTACCGTTGCTGTCCATCATTTCCGCCAGGTAGGACCGCGCGAGGTTGATTTGGTATGGTCCAGAAACGAACAGGAGCAGCTGAGCTTCGGTCAACTTCGGAAAATCGCTTAGGTCCTGGGCGGAAATCCTCTGAGGAGGGTCTGACGTCGATTCCATCCTTCGTTCTCAACCAGCGACCCGAGAGTGTTCGGCAGGTTCATACGATGTTCCATGTGGTCAATGACGACCTCGCTCAGTTCGCCCTCTCCTCACGATCGGGGTCCGTAAGCATTCTCCAGATATCCGATGATTCCGCACAGAGATTTAACCTTGGTTAGGAGCTTGTTATCAAGGCTATGGTGCAGGAGCTTGTACCTCTGCGCGACCCGTCCATGGACTGCCTCGACGATCCACCGCACCTTCGTAACCAGACGGGATTTGTTGGCTTCGTCGCAGGGTAGTTGCTTCCTCTTACCCTTCATTGCCGGCATAACCACTCGGAAACCCATTTCCTCCATATTCTTGACAGCATCTCGGAATCCGCGGTCGACGACGAGGACATCGCCCTCAGTCAGCAGGGACAGCAAAT